TTTTATAAAATGTCTAATTTTTTAATAAATGTTGACTTCATCGTTCATCGACTAAATAACTAGCTGAAAAAGTTTTTTTTTTTTTCCCAGTTAACATTTATTTTATTTCAAGCAACAACGTTTTTATTTTTATAGTTTTTGTTTTGATTCTTTTAACTATAACTGACATGTTCCACTAATGCTCAACATAAATTAAAACGTTGAAAAATTACTATAAAGATTATAATGACTGCTTACAGTATAAAATACCTGGTAGCATTTATAGCATTAATAGCCCTAAAATCTAATTGGTTGATAGGCACATTGTCCAGGATGTTGATCCAAAACATGGACCTTTATGGTCCGGCTGTGGTAGTTGATGGTGATGTGCTGCCCCTCAGTGGTCACTCTTCATATGATCATTACAGGACAGTTCAATCAGACTGCTTCTATTTCAAAGAGTTTCCACACAAAAATTATTGGAGAAACTGCCAAGACCTCAAGTGAATGGTGAGAAAAGAAGTTACTTTATCAGTTCAGTAGAATTTCTTTTTTTATATATATATTGTTACTGAGATAAGATGCAAATCTGTAATATAGGCCTACATAGATACAGATCATGCATACCAGAAATATGACGTCTGAAAAGACCAAACAAGAAATAAAACTGAATAGATGAAAGAAAAAAAACCTATTGGACCAGGTGCAACAACAACAACATCATCATATATCAGTCCACTGCAATAATATAATAACTGATCTTGATTAGCATCCAACTCGAATTGCACCTGCATTAACCATTGTGTCCTGTTAAGCCTGTCCATGTTCACAAGAATACATTCCTGCTTGTGAAAGGGCATGAGCTAAACTAGACTGGCATTGGCGCCAGGCAAGTCAGATATCCAAAAACTAGAAATATTTGCAGTTAGATTTCATTTCAGAAAGTGTTGTTTTTAATCTTACAAATGCAAACTTGGAAGAAATATCATCTTATATTTCATGACTGTTAAGAGAACTGATCAGAAAAAAAAACAAGAAAACAAAAACCATGTGTGGGAAAAAAAATGCTATCATAAAACTGCAGTGAGTTTTTACATGCTCAAGATTTTCAGACTGATGCATATACTGTAGAAATACATCAGTGGAACATGTATCACAAGAGACAATATGAGATGACTTTTTTAACTGGAGAAAGCAATATAATGAATACAGGACTCATTTGAAGTTAAAAACGACTTAATTATGGATTGGTTTATTACAAACGTGCAGCTTTTCACTTCACAAGATGTTAATTGATGAACTGGAGTCATGTGGATTGTGATGTTTTATCAGCTGTTTGTACTCTCATTCTGACGGCACCGGTAACACTATTTTTTTTGCCATGCAATAAAGCTAAGTTCAAAGGCCAATTTAAAATATTGGTACTGTAAATAAAGTGCACAAAATCAGTATTTTGTTTAGGCAGTATTTGTGGCACTTTTGTGGCACATCTGTCCAAATATTTGTGGCAGATTTGTCGAAAAGGTGTGTGTTTTTTGCTCCAATGCATTGTTAAAGGATCAGCGTGTCATGTAATATTCCCATATAAACTTTAACATCCAATTAAAAAATATTT